TTTTTTTGGTCTCTGCTGCACAAAGATTGAAAACCTCTATCCCATCTTTCTTATCTCTTTCCGCACACTCCAATTCTTCCTGCGTGCTTATTGATGTTTGTCGCACTTTCTTTAATCGTTTTACTTCAGCTCTTTTTAACTTCCATGCCTGTTCTACCTCTAATGTCCACCATGGACGCTGTACAAAAGTAGATCTGATATTCCTCTTCTAAGCCTCTGAGGGAGGCGTCCAGGAAGGGTTTTTGTCTGCTCATACTTGAAAGACCTGCTAGCTTTTGAAGCCATGACTTTACTGTACTTGGAGATAAATACTGAACATCATGTCATGGAGATGTGTGTCAAATGTTAGGTGAAGCTATGATTATATCTGTCAATTATTACAGTGTGGTCCGATTGTGTCGGTTTGGGTTGGCAGCAAGGCTCTAGTGTACGTAAATACCAGATTCCTAGAATACCCAGCCCACGCTTTGAGAACCAAATGTTCGGCGAAGAGGACAGTTGTGGCTTGTGGGATAGCGGACTTAAGTGCTCTCTGTGGGAGGGGGTGGGGATTGTACTCATAGTGCACCCGGAATGGGTAGGGAGGGGTAAGAGGGCGAGAAACCATTCAGTCATTCCTCGTTGTTGCCGTCTTGCTGGATTCTAGCATGGTCGTTAGCCGGGATCCTTAACAGAACCGAGGCCAGGAATATCTGCTTTCCTCCTCGGTAGCTGCAAAAGGGTGATTTCTCTTTTAATAAGCAGTGCCGTATAAAAGCACTTACCAGGCATCGTGTACAGCTTTAAACGGTTTTATCCAAATTAAGCATGCAGAGGAAACAATATACAAATTCATTTGGCATAATGACGCCGATATATTTCATTACGTCTTTGTCTGCCCTTAATCCCACAATGAAACATCCCCATCAACCTTATGTTCTACACCTATATCCACCTTTACGGTGGGGGATACAGTCATGCTTGTCGTAGTAATCGTCCAGCGATATGCATCTGGGACGGTACTAATGACATGGCGCAAGTCACTCTTGTCATTTCTCAGAATTTCCTATTTAATAAAACGGGACTGTCAACTGTTATTACTGTCTGTATGCACCACTTTTTTTTAGGGTGGTTTAGATAAAGGGTCGTGAGCCTGAGGATTTACGGCCGCATGGCCAGTGCTGTCGCCATGGACTGTATAGGTTAGGATGTTTGATTTTGATCATGACAGAAAAACTCCGTTAACTTACCAGGAGTCGAGCCCGGGTTCCCGCATCTCCTATGTTCTGTGTATATCTACTGCTGCCGACTCCCCGAGAACGTTTCTAACAATGACTTTCATTGTCACCTTACTACTCATAATCATTGAATCTTACTATAAAATTGGTGATCCCCCATCTCTTTGATGGGTGAATAACGCAGAAAACAACAGAACTTGAATCCAAATAAAATGTAATCCTTCTCTGAGTATTATTGGCCAAGATAAAATGATTTTTAACTGCTGAAGACTGAGAAATGATGGTGTGCAAATTCGCAAGTATTCATCATAGAAGTATAGAAAAGACAAATCGACAGACATATTTAAAGAATGTACGCTACGAGTCAAACCTCATTATACGTTATTCCATTCCTTCCTATCCACCCCCCCCCCTTCTCCCCTTTCCGCCGGTCCATTCTTCCGCCCGCCGACCTGTCTTTTTACCTTCTGTCCATCCAATTATCTGAGGGTAATTTTATTATTGTACAATTTCCTTTCCTGCAGGTCTACTAATTTTGATAGTTTAACGTTAACTGCGTAGAAAAGATAGCCGATAATTGCCACAATTTCCCCCCAAAATATTCGAACAAACACAAGCAGGATTGACTACTAATTACCCATATTAACACGCACGGTCACCCACTTTTCCTTCCCTTTTACAATAAACAGACACATATTTCAATAAGAAATTCAATGTACTTTTGATGCACCCTTTAGTATACCTTAGGCATGGGCCTAATGCTAGGCTGCGAGTTGACGATCTAAATGATTTATGGTTGTTGCGTATCCTTTACAGGACGTTGCAGAACCAACCCAAACAGCTCCTGGCTGTTGTGTGGTTTCTCCAGGCAAATTTACGTCCAGTAGTTTGTCATTGCTCCCTGGACGGTCGGCTTTCTTGATACCACTGTCGAAACCAACGCAAGGCGCATGACCCGCAGCTGGAATCAAACCCGGCATCCCGGCATTACGAAACGTTCGCATCGACTTAGCCACAGAGCCGACTAAATGATTTATGATTGAACGAATAAATAAAAAAAAAATGACATCCCTGCATTCTTTACGCTCCCATACGTGCTCCGTCTCCTTCCTTTGTAGCCAAGGAAGAGTCTGTATTCTAACTGAATTAAAGTGTCAGTGTATGGAAGCTCGGCCCGTTCTGATTCACAGTCCACTTGATCCCAGAGAGCCTTTACCACTTCCACTTTGTCATAAAGCAGCTCACCACCCAGATGAGACGCAGCAGCCAATCTATCAGCCTGATCATTACCCCGCACATCCGAATATCCTGGAACGAAATCAGGTTATATGCTCCGGATCTGGGTCTTATAAAGCGATGCAAGATACTACGCGTAAGACGCCGGTTTCTCGTTTCAGTTTTCTGAAACATGCTCTGTGAGCCCGTTATAATTACCACACGTTGGGCTGTGCTGCTCTCCAGCCATTGAAAAGCTACAGTTACTGCCTCCACCTCTATTCTCAAACTGGATGTGTCATTATATGCAAGGCTTTCTCTATATAGGCTTATCCAGCGTAAGTCCTGACTTTGAAAATTTAACATACAAACATAGTAAGGTGTCTAGAAAAGAAAACCTATTTTCAACAGATTTCCATTCATTTATTATTGTTATAATTTGGTTTAGCTGTATGGGCCACTGTAAAAGACTACACAATTCAAAGGCAACAGTGAGGATATAGACCACCTTTTTCAAGCTAGCGACAGAAGAAGAAGAGGAAGAATTAATCACATTAACACGGCCACCCTTTCCCTGCCTTTTCCGATAATGAGCCGACTCATAAAGTCAATAACACATTCCGGAAGTAGCCTCATTTTGATAATAAACACGATGGCGTCAGTCAGTATGATGGAGTAGAACAGTAGTGTAGACCCGTAGACCAAACAAAGTGAATTAAGGCATGTGCTTACATTATTGCTTGTGCAACGCAGATTTAATTTGGAAAATTTCATTAATTCGAGCGGGATATTATCATTTCAGGTTGCTAAGTGTTTCACATTAGTGATTGTTTGTGACTTTGTCCTGATGCCGGCGTAGCTTGTCAAATGAATGTCAAACAAGCGACGATTGCATGATGATTGTGTCCATTCATTCATTCATTGGCTTGAGCAAAGATAAGCTTTAATTATAGTGCACCATAATAAGATGCCACATATTATTTCATTTATATCGTAAATAAACATAAAATTGGGTAGATAAGATAAGCCTCACTTGCTTTGCAATTCTACGTATGCGTAAAAATTTGTTAATAATGATAATTGATAATGATACTGTTAATAAGTTAATAGATTAATCATCATTTGAAAATAATAACTCTTATCCTAATGTTTATGTTGCAGTAAATAATAGTAATATAATAATGTTAATATTTAATATAATTTTGGGCAGCCTAATTTTGAATTATTTAAATTAGTTTTCATAGACCTAACACGAAAGTAATAGTAGTATAGCAATGTACAGTTATCCTCCGAATAACGGGCACTAAAGATGGCGGCCGCAAAATATCCTTTTGAGTCGCAGTCACGTGACATAATTTGCGGTTTTCATCTCGTGTCGATGGCGGTAGTCGCCATGAAACCGCAAAATAAGTCGTAATTGACACGTGACTGCGGCTCGAAAAGATATTTTGCGGCTGCCATCTTTAGTGCCTGTTATTCGGAGGATAGCCCAATGTACTATAACTGAAAACAGTAGTAGTACTAACTAGTAGTACTACTACACCTCATTAAAACATCTGAAAATTTACTGAGTGATAAATAAAATAATTGGCATTACATATTTTCATTTGTTGTGAAATTTGGTTTTCAAAAATTCTATTAGCTATAGTTAGTATAATTTAGGTAGAATAACGAATGAGATAGATTCCATAAATAGAATTTTAAGTAAAAAGCAGTTGTCATAAAGTAATATATCATACAATAAATTTGCTTTTGTATACATGCATAAATAACCTTTAACAACTAAAACAACAAAACACAAAAATACCAATTAACAAGATAGAGAATTGTACTCTATAGCATTATAGATTATTATATAATTAGACGCTGTGATGTAATGTAAGCAGCATAATATGCTAATTGTTTTTTTTAGAGCAAAATTCCATGCGCGCCTCTTTTTTGCCACTGAATCGAATCTTTTTTCTTCCTGCTAAAAAATATTCAGATATGTTTAGCACATGTGTTAGTGTTAGTATAGTAACCAATTTTTCGCCCAACTATAAACAGTTACTCAGTACTTTACTGCCACTATTCAGATTTTGTGATTTTTATTTTGTGTGTGACAGTATCACTATGAAATTCAATCATTTGAGAAACAGTACAGAATAGTATAGGATCTTGAAGGTTTTTGACACTGCTGTATTATACAAGCATCGTAATTCTACTGAATGCCAGTTTGGAGACAGTGGTCAGACTTGTGTTACTGTTTCATCAGGGACAGTTCACATTTACATCAGCCTGAACTTTGGATTGGTATTATGTAACTTTAGTTTGTAAGTAAAAAATAATTTCAATTCGCTTATTACAACAAAATAATAATAATATTGCAAGGCATTCTGCAGTGAATCAGCAGATGTAAAGACTTATATTTTTTTTTGCACAATGTGCTTTGTGATTCTTTATTATAAAGACAGACATCTTGAAAAGCCAGATTCTCAAAAAGATGGTGTTGTGTTGCCAGGATATGTTAATTTTACCCAGTAATTGACACTGAGGTAATAATATTCTCTCATTGGGATTTGTGTGACCATGGCATCTGAGACAACTGCCCAGTTTCTTCACTGTGTGAAGAAGCCACCAAATGTTCGGACAGATAAAGTGAGTATCTTATCATCATCATTATCTTGTTGTGTCTATTATACATCCGCTCTGTCCTGTGCATTCATTTCAATCTTATTAAATCATATTGCCCTGTATAGGTTCTGGGGCCCTTTTGTGTAGACAAGAATAGACCAACTGAGGGGCAAGGAACCAGCAATCTGCATACATAAAAGCCAGATCTGTCAGAAAAAAAAATCAAATCTGCATGCAACACTTGAGTTCTGGAACAAGGCTAAAGCCAAGAAGTAAATAAACTGAACTTTCCGCCTGAGTTTACAGCCGGTGAACAAGAAGAAGAAGAACAACCATAACTTTTTGCTGAAGTTTACAGCAGATGAACACGAAGAAAAAAGTTAAATCATAGAAATTTTTTCTATATTGTCAAGGCAGCAATTCTTCACATGGCATTGAGGATGATAATGAATAGGGCTGTACCGAATAGTGGTTTTCTCTATTCGGCCGAATAGCTGTACAAACTATTCGGCCGAATACAAATAGTGAATCATCATCATCAAGTGCTATGCCGACTGAATTGGGCGATTATGCCTTGCTACAATCTACGATCTCCTGCAGCATGTATTAGTTCGTGTGCTGACACACCTCCATGCCATGCAACAAGACTGTCAATAATCTTCTCTCGTTGTCTTTTTCTATCCCTCCTTCCACAGATCTTTCCAGTGGTCACCACATGTTCCATTTTCCCTCATCTTATAACATGGCCGAAAAATGATGACTGTCTCCTTCTGATATCTGTCACTAGTTGTCTTCTGGCTCCTGCCTCTTTTAAAACCTCTTGGTTCTTTTTTTTTCTGGCTGTCCAAGGTATTTTAAGCATTGTTCTGTAAAACCACTTCTATGAGGCCTCAAGAAATTGTTTGGCCTGCCTACCGATTGTCCAGGACTCAACAGCCATATGTTAAAACTGAATGTATGTAGAAGGCATTAGCTTTAAAAAAACACACACACACACACAATCATTCCATATTGTCAGCATTCTTGTCTCATTGAAGGTATTTCCAGTTGTGCTAAACAGACGTTCACTTAGTACGCTCGTAGGTGGTGCACAAAGTAACACTTGACAGTATGAACCAAGGTGGGAAATCTTGATATGTTCATTTTCCACCCATCCAGAAATGGATGTAAGGTAACCACCATTCGTATTCGGCCCGACCGCAACTATTCGGCAAAATACCGAATAGTTATTAGGTCCACTATTCGGCCCCGAAGCGAATATTCGGTACATCCCTAATAATGAATATGTTATCTTATGCATTTATGTTATTCTGATATCTTGTGACACATAGTTGGTGTCTTATGTGTAAGATAAATAAAAAAAAAAGTCACCACTTGATTGATGCTGTCATAAATGTCATATATCAGTACAGCTGTATAGATTAGCTGCGGCTTCAGGGAAACAAAAATAATTGCTAATAAATATACACATGGTCTTATAGTCCCTACCTTGTGACATTGGTTTTCATGTTTTTTCACAGCCTTCTGTCTCAAACAGGTTTCTGATAATTCTCTTATGTCATAATTGAATAATTGTAAACTATCTTTAAATTCTCTTTGTCCTTCAATCTGCCCTACTTCTCCAAGTTTACTGTTCTCATGAAGCCCACTGTTTTTAACTTTTCAAGTTATTTCAAATATTCTCAATCTGGATTGAATAAACCTTTTATTTGTCCTTTGCTTTTTTTCATCATTTTTCTATGAAACCACCTCACAGTTTTTTTACTTCTTGTAGCAGCCCATTTTCTGGTCCACAGCGTATTGGGGAGGATGGCAAGTTTCTTTCCTTGTCACCTTTCCTTTTAAGGCAATTTAAATTAAATTATAAAAATTGTCTTGTACCCATAAAAAAAAAAAATTAATACTAGAAGTATACTGGTTTGAAAAATACGAATACAGTCGAACCTTAGGGAATGAAATCTGTTCCATGACTGAGCTCATAATGTTGAATAACTTATATCCTGAAACTTACGTTAAAATTAATACATATATAATTTTAATTCAATCTAGCCCTCCCAAAATCACCCAGTTGGTTTTAAAATAAAATTGTTTGTTTTATTAATGGGGAAAATCTAAGGCCATGCTTTTTTTTTCTTTTGCTGGCAGTGAATTTGGATCATAGTGCTGCAGTCCATCTTCATAACAAAGTTCCTAGTCTACTAGCTAAAGTCCTTTATAAATGTCAGTGTGACTAAATCCATTTAAAAGCTAGCAAGCTGCTGTCGGGTAATGCTGAGTCTCCTTGCAGATCACATCCTGAATTTCTTCTTATAATTGGACACCCCCCCCCCCCCCCCCCCCCCCAATAAAGATGAACCTGACTTCCTATCCTGAAAACTCTATATTGCTTCTTCTGTTGGGGTTTGACCCAGACCACTGTCCTGCCTGACAGATACTAACCACTATGCCACTGAAGAATAGCAGGAGTATCACAGAGCAAGGCACTCATGTGACCTAGAAACCTAAAAGTTTGCCAAAGGCTGAGGACGTAGCCTAAAGCCATGTGGCTGTGGAAAGTAAGGTGAAACTACCACATTATAATTCCAAGAAACTCACCATTGAAACAGCATCTTGCCTGGGAAGCTGAGATATTTTGGCCATATCAACCACCATGGAATGGATGGGCACAGGATATGACTCCTTGGATAATGAAAGTACACGAGCTGGCAGGAGACCTAGTTTATGTCATGCAGACCATGATGAGAGCTACATTCTGTAGAGGACCTGCTGCATGAGGATGATACAACCAAAGCTGATCTGTTAAGTAACTGTCCACCTTCCACCACACATGTCTACATAGAATTATCAAAATTTTCTGGCCAGATACAATCTCAAACACTAAACTACTTCAAGCCACAAACCAAGAAACTTTAGACAGTATGATTACCAAGATAAGATGGAAATGGCTTGGCCACATTAGGAGAATGACTTCTGATATACCTGCCAAAACAGCTCACATGGATACCAGAAGGAAAAAGAAAACAGGGGCGCCCAAAAACAACATGGAGACGAACGATGGAAAGTGACTTGAGTGCGGCAACTTTGACATGGAAAACTGCACTGAAGATTGCACAGGACAGGAAAGCATGGAAAGTCCTCTCTGAAGCCTCATGTGCCACTAGGCATAACGAGAAATGTCGCGCGCCCACGTGGGTAAATACACTGATATAGTGAGGGTGTGGGTTTGAACCTTAACAATGCCCACCCACGTGAGAAACTGGACTATTATCTAAGCTATGTTGATCCTAGACAGTCCTGGATAGCCAAGAAAACAGCGAGTGGCTCGTTCCATGAAATGAAAGTTGCTGTACTTGTATCCACAGGAGAAGGAGAAGGGATAGATAGATATCTGGATACACCCACTGTGATATAATCCAGGTGCTCAGTTAACCCCTGCGACTGGTCTCCTCTCCTGGCATTACTTAAAAGCCCCCATCAAGTGATTTAAATATTTGTTAGCTGAAGTAAACTAATATGCACAAAGACACTTGAACCTAAGTACACAATTTACTCAACTAATGTTGTTACGACATCAAAAAGATTTATTTAATAAATCGAAATTAAAATAAAATGAACTTGTTTAGGCTAGTAGAGTTGGGATGATATTGATGAAATCATAAAGGTATTGGAAAGTAACAACCTTTGGACAGTTCTCGGCTTGAGACCCTGCCTATCTTTTCCAGTTTGTCGTCCTCACTGCTTTCTGCAGGTCGTTACACTCGACGGTCGGCAAATAATGGATGCCTACTAGTCCCTGCCCAATGTGGGAACTGGAAAAATGAAACCACGATGCCAAAAGTTCTGTCTCAAGCTTAGGTTAAGCCCAACAGATGGCATGTGCTGGACAGGATCTCATTTACCAGACCTAGCGTTCAGCCCTTTATAACTTTTATCAAGCTCCTCCTACATTACGCCTAAAATCATTCTCATTCACGGATGCCACAGCTCCTCCCTGTGGGTAAGTTTATTCGCTGTCAGTCAGTGACTGTACAACAATTGTTTGAATTCCCACGCTAGGGTCTCCTGGTCAATTCATCTGACCAGAGCAAATAAGACAAGTCACACCTCTAGTCTACTTCACCTGTCATCACAAAAAATCCGACTTTGTCAATTCTTCTGCCAACACTTTCCGCTCACTGTGTCAATAGTGACCGTCGGACCTGCCTTCGAGTTAGGTAACCTCAGGGGGAGATAATGACAATTAGCCCTTGTTATCTGTTCCTGAAGATCTGGCAGGGGGAATAACTATCTGATACCAACAAATGGTGTGCAAATCTCCAGTCAGTAAGTCTGCTTGGTCAGTCTTATCTCTGTACCTCAACACTTAACAGCTGGGAAAAAGTTTTAGTGTGTGTTATCGCCAACATCCCAGGAGAATTAAATGCTTGTTCATTTCGCCTACTTAGATTAAGGATGTATCCAAATCCCTATTTTCCTGTATACTTTCAAAATACAAAGAAATAAAAGTAGGTTGAGGAAAGACATTCTGAAGTATCCGCGCGTATTGTCACAAGAACTGATGACTGATGATGATCTGTTAAGTTGGAGTATTTTCTCGTCTCCCAACACTTGGCTGGTGTTTCTTCTTCTTCACTTCCTCTTTTACCGCTGTGGGTGTCGAGGGAGATTTAAGGTTCTGTTTCTAGCTCTTCTGGCTGCCTCGACCATAGGCACATCGTGCTGTTGTAGATTTTCTCTGATGTTATTCTTCCATCTTGTTCTTGGACTACCCCGTGCTCTACGTCCTTCTTCTCTTTCCATGTATGCTTTGTATGGTACGGTGTCACAAGGCATTCTCTCTAAGTGGGCAAACAATTTCACTTGCTGTCTTTGTATGTAATCCAGAATTGGTTCTGTGCCGACTTGTTCTCTTATGATCTCATTCCTGATCTTATCTCTTATGGTTACTCCTACAGCCCTTCTCAGACATCTCATTTCCGTGGTTACTAATTTTCTTTTATGGTTTGTTGTGAGTGATCATGTCTGGCACTGGTAGCACAGAGTTGGAATAAATATGCTTTGAATGTCTCTTTGTGCTGATTGGGATTGTCTTATGCTGTAAGAGGGGGGCTAGCTGTCCCAATACTGGTGTAACTGGAGGAAGAAAATAAGAATTTTTCTTCTTCTATTGAACCAGGTCAGCCTTGTAAACATGGTTACTGGATAATTTTGTGGAAATTGTTTTGACATTGTATTGTGGAAGGGAACTGGTCAGTTTACCATGACCTACTGTATGTCTGTCACTTCACTTAGCAATGATAGCAGTAACCATTGGATTACTGTTACCATTACCTTACATTTACATCTCATCATCAACAGTCAGCAGGTCCTATACAGAACATCACTCACATCTGGGGACACCTGAAAGTCACTTTCTATAGCCAGTTGTCTAGCCCTCTGTGCTTTTATAGCCAGTGCAATTTAAGTGTCTTATATCCACATTCACGGAGGTCGGCCTCTGTTTGGTCCAGGTATTCTGAGCATTTTTCTACAGCATTTCAGATCAGAAGCATTTTGCTTTCAATGGGAAAGATGCAGGATTTCAAAAATGTTAACTTCAACTCATCTTCTCTTACTGTAAAAATATGTCTTTTAATATATGTAGTGACTACATGCTTGTCTGTCATCCCAAAGTTCTTGGGTTTAAATTGAGTGGGATTTTTCCCCCACAAATAACATTGGCTTCTGGGTTGACTTAGATTGAAATGGGTTACAGGTAAAGGCGGCCAAGGTGATGTTCATCACAGCACACATTGGGTTCCAAAATTTCGGTGCTTTCCCAATATCTTCCCTCGGGATGATGTCACAGTCCAATATTTTTGAGTGTGATAAGAGCGGGTTTCCTGGCTTTTTGATGCTTTTAATTACCCCAAAACACTTGGAACTTTGCCTAACCCCAACCCCTAGGTGCCACGACTGCATGCATGCAGCCTAGGGCCCATGACTGCATGCATCCTAGCTACCGTCCCCTAAAATATTCAGCTTCTTTTTAGGAGGAGATATTGGGATAGAACCGATTTTTCAATATATGAATAGCATCATTTGCCTTATATGGCTTGAAAAGTGTCATTTTCAATTTGACACACTCTCATTTGTTTTGTTGTTGTTTCATTTATGTCATTTAAAACAGCAAAATTTAATAACCCATTTGAACTATAGATTCTCTACTAATTCTAGTACTTTGTTTTTCAGGATTTGAGCATGATATACACATACCTTCATAGTTTAGAAGCTCTGTCTGGCATGAGAGAGCGGGCACTCCAAAGCCTGTGCTCTGTAGTTCGGTATGAATTCCACGAAGCCAATAGTATAATTTACTAGTAAGTTTGTTTTTGTAACACTTTTTACTTTAATTGATTTTGCTTGCACATTCTTTATTGTTCTTCGTTTATTTGGTCTCCCACATGTTGCATGACATTTATGGCCGGTCTGCGAAACAATACACCATCCATTTGTTTTATATGAACTATTTATTAACCTCTTGCTATACTAACAAGTTTTGTTTGTGAAAGACCTTTTTATTTCTTGTGTTTTTGTTTTATAGTTTGTATTTCTTTTGTAGGGGTTGGGGTAGGGTGTCTGAATGCTTAACCCTGTTTGCCTCACACTGTATGCTATGAGCTCATTCTTTGTTTAACACTCTGCAGACGGCTAGCCTTTGCAAAAAGAGATTGAGTTTGCTCCTTCCCTTTTGTATGTATTTAGTTCGTTCACTTCTAAAACTTCTAGACTTGGTTCTTGATCCAGAACGAGTTTTTCAGATCTGACTTATTTGCATGTGTGGGAAAAACATGTATAAAGCGACTGACTGATCTGTTGAAATTGGATTTGTTATGGAAATGTGCAGATATTACAGCCTAGCTGTAAACCACAACACAGTATGCCAGCAATTTGGTTGAGGGCGAGCGCAGCAGAAGAAGAACCAATGGCGTCTGGGCTGACAGGAAAGCATGCCAGCAACTTTACAACCGTGGCTTGCCATGGAGTAAACATCAAAGAGGTTTATTTGAGACCACAGAACTGAAGTAATGCCATATTCCAGTAAAGTAAAGAATTCTTTCCATGCATTTGGGCCTATTGGGCTAGACCTAAATTTTATACACCAATTGGCACTTGGTGGGTAGTGTGGTCAGCATCACACCGGCCGCCTATACTTCCCAGTACTGTACCTGGTATCCACTCAAGGTGTTGTTAAAAATTGCGGATTGTTCATCCATATCTGTCGCCTCGAGGCTTTTAAAGTCGCTGTATTTAATGCCATCAGGCCCTGGAGCTGTGTCTGGACAGGTCTTCAGTGTTGCTCTGGTGCAGTCCGTTGCGATGTATACTGTATCATTGACTTCCTCCATTTCAGCCATCTGGATATCATGTAAACCATGAAAACTGGCATTATCCCGGTGACTGGCTCCACAGCTACCTCAGACCGGTTCCTAAGCCAGGAAAAGTCCACACCAGAATAAATGGCTACAGAATCATCACACTGCAGAACACTGTAGGAAAACTCATGGAAAAAAATTGTTACCAAAACGTTGACCCAAACATTGGAGTCAGGTGGCCTATTCCCCGCTACATTAGGTGGGTACCGACCAGGAAGAGATACATGGTGCAATGCTGCAGTATTTGCCTACGACACATATGAGGGTTTCCAGGAGGGAATGAAACGGCTGCAGCCGCTATTGACTTAGTAGATGCGTACAACTGCGTCTCATACAACATGCTCATCAGATTGCTGTTGGATATGCAGATAGAAACAAAATTCGTCAACTGGATAGCAGCAGCGCTATTTGAAAGAACAGTGTCGCTTCGATGAGGTGAATGGGCATCCGAACCTCAACGCGTCCTAATGGGTCTGCCCCAGGGATCACCATTGTCGCCCGTGCTCTTCAATGTGTACACAACACGAGTCATTAGTGCACAAACCTAGGCCTAGGCAGAACAATGTCGTATGCAGATGATATCCTTGTTTACCGTCGAGGTAAAAACAGGCAGGAAATTACAGCCACACTACATCACGAACTAACAGACTTAGTGAGTGGTGCCAGGAATCAAGAGCTCAGGTGAACCCGTCCAAAGCCTTCTTAACATGGTTTTCTCTGAATACCCACATCGTAAGTACACCAACGCAAGTTGTAAGCATCTGTGGTGTGGACATCAAGAGAACTGACACCATGAAATACCTGGGCATGACATTTGACAGATGCCTCTCATACAAATGCCACATAGACGTCATACTTAGAGCCAGGAAAAGTTTGACAGCACTCAAGGTGCTAGCAGCAGCTGATATTGAACAACGCCTAATTTTCCTTTTCTATCAAGGGCTAGTGCTTAGCGTCATTGACTATGGTCTTGCCCTCCTCACTGTCAGCAAAACCCAGCTAGAAAGACTGGACCGAGTACAAAATGAGGCCATGAGACTCATACTCGGCTGCACAAAAGACACCTCCTGCAATGCCATGCGTTGTGTCCTGGGTTTGCCGACGATGACTAGCAGATACAAAGTGGCACAGGTCAAGGCTTACATGAGGGTATCGGCAGATGTTAACCACCCATTGCACAAAGCTATTCTCGACACAGAAGGAACGCGTCTCAATAGAGGCCGCTCTTGGATGGCAAAGGCTGAGGATTTAATCCAGCAGGTATGTGACCTAGACGTGATCAATCACGGAAAAGAATGGACGAATACACCAGTAGACATGCATGGCATCTCTAAGGTTGTCATCACACTCGGAAGGTACTGCAGGGATCAAATTCCTGCGGCCGTAGACACAAGTAAGGGAACTGATAGATCAGCATTCAGACCCAGAAGATATCATCTACACAGATGGATCTGTGAAGCGCGGATCAAGGTCAGCATGAGCATACACAGCGCAAAGAAGGGGGAAAAATACATGAGGACAGCGGGGCTTACCAGACAACCACGTCAAGCATGACAATGGAAATAGCCGCTGCTTCTAGAGCTTTAGCGTGGGTATCCGAGCAAACCGCCACACAGGCAGTAATTGTCTCAGACTCAATGAATATTCTTCAGAAGATAGCAACAGGCAGTATGCGCTCTGAATAGATAGAAAGCATTAGGAAATCCCACTTAACCTCCGTAACCTGGATCTACACACCGAGTTATGCGTTCGTAAAGGGAAATGAGCGAGCGGACCAACTGGCAAGCACTGCACTAATGATTGCGGGAAAAAGCATGGACAGAGCAGATATCGTCTACACTGTACGAACTGGGCTAGTGGAGAATGAGGAATCCCTGACACTAACACGATTGCGTGACATGGGAGTTAAGCATGGTGATGCACGTCTTTGCCGTCTTCGGGGCCTAGAAAGGAGACGATATAACCAGCTTCTCCTGGGGACAATTAGTAGAAGTACTTTGGAGTGGCTGCTGCTTCGGGTATGCCCAATGTAGGTATGCCCAGTGTGCAGTGACATCAAGTGTGATAACAAAACATAAAATAACATCTTGTAGGGGTGACGCCTGCTGGTGGATGTAATGTCAAGTCCCTTCCCCAGCTAATAATGAGGGTACTGCTGGGGTGACCGTTTATTAACCCTCATATAATGCTTCAGGTCAAAATGGACGCTAGGCACGGCCACCTGTTTTTTCTTTCTTCTGAAAGACTGTGGCCGTTGCATTTTTGCTCCATTTATAGACTGGAAGGATATAGTTTCGTCGCCCTGCTTCTGAATTGAGTGCATGGCGTGACACTGTGAGCTATGTGTGTTTTTCGTTGGCACAGGAGCGAAGCAACTATGGGGTGACCCGTTTGCTATAAAGCTGAAACTAGGATAACCAGATCCACTCAAGGCTGGGTCGACCTGGGAGCCAAGGACATTGTTGAAACAAGGTTAGCTTTGCCAAGACTTTCAAATCCGCAGGCAAGGGTCTGGCCGCTACACCATGATGGCTGCCATTAAGCATATAGAGTTACACCTGTATTTTATAGGCTAATTGGCCCTCGATGGGTGATGTGGTCAGCATTGCGCCAGCTACCTTTACTTCCTAGGACTTTACCTGGTACCAAATGAAGGTTGGGTCAGCCTAGAAGACAAGGTCATTTTTTAAAAAAGCCCGGCCTCATTCGGATTTGAACCCACAACCTTGGTGATCCTAGAACCCACCTAGGAAATCCTGTTAATCAACATGCACCACAGTAGTATAATGTCTAGATACTCGCCAGCTAGCCTAAAGGTCTAGGGTTCAGATCTGCTTCAGGGCAGATTTCTTTCAGAATTGACCTAGGGCTTTCAGGTTGACCCAGCCTAAAATGGTTGTCAGGTAATGTCAATGGAAGTAAAGGATTCTGGCGGGATTTGATGTTAACTACATCATCCATTTAGTTCCTATTGGTCTGTAAAAATAGAGTGCTCACTTTATATATTTGACTCTTTTACTTTGTGCTGGAGGGAGAATAAAAAAAAATGTATTTCAGCTATGCATGAAACAATTCATTATTAACCATAAGAACAGCAAACGGCCATATGTGACTTTAGCATTTTGTGTATACCCTTGTGCTAATGTTGATCGATGGGTACTCTCCTGTCACTGGTGTAATGGGAAACATATGTTGCCAAACAATAAATAATAGTTTTATTGTTTTGTTTCATAGACATTGGTTTGAACTATGACTATGGCTGTCTATTATAGTTTCTTTTGTTCAGTTTGTAGGCCAACAGATGTTGTTTGTGTATAGGCTTTCTTTTGTGGGTTCAATCTCCTCATTTTGGGTGGAACAAATAATAGACTTACTGCCCCACTAACAAGCATGTCATAGGAGGCAAGTAATTAGGTGCTTTTTGTTTTGAAGTTTGGAATGTATCTGTCTGAGGGTTTTGGAACCAACAGTCTGCATGCAACTAAGTCTGAAACGAGGCTGAAGTCCAGAAGTGGATGAATAATCAGAACATTGTGCAAGAGTTTACAACCGGTCAACACTTAGAAGAAGAAGTGTACAGGCTCAAGACTAAGGAGAGTAGGGTTTATGCCTGCAGGGGCCAGCAGGATACTTTCTCAGGGCCCATAAGCATGGAGCTTCATGCTATTCTATGTATGACAAGAACTGTGCCATAAATTCCAATTTAATTTCTGTGATTGGTTGTCATAGGAGCCCCAGCACACAGGTTTGCTCAGGCACCCATAATGCTGTTAAGATGTTTCTGCATACCTGGTTTCTTTTTGTTTGCTTCCATTACTAATGAATTTAGTGTAGTATGAGTTTCAGCGAAATTTTTTAACATTTATTTCTTCTTTCTGTAACATGCAGCAGGCCATGTTTTAATTGATAAAAGCTTGTAGGAAAGTCAGCATATTTGCATGTGTTTAACTCTCTCCCAGTCCCCAGAAGTTGTTACTTGGACCCTTTAGTCCAGGGTAATATAACTATGGGACAAAAGGTGTGGCATCTAGGTAGATTTAACCAAAAATGACTGGCTTTGGGGTTGACCCAGCATAAAATGGGTGCCAGATAAAGTCCTGGGAAGAAAGGTGGCTTGCAGGATGCTGGACCACATCACCCACCCATTTCACCTAATGGGTGGAGAAGAGTTAATTACTATACAGAAGGGGCTGAAGTAACTTCTTCTTTCATTTCATTCACTTGCTTAGCTTTTTTTTATCCAAACTACACGCTTGCACTCTTTTAATGTTTACAGTTGTTTTAATTTTTTTGTCCTGTACAATGCTGGTTGACGTCCTTTGCCAGCCTGCTTCATCATTCTGAGGTACTTGGTTTAATTCCAGCTGCAGGCCTTTTTGCAGCAGAGAGCTTTATGTTGATTTAAACAGAGCTATCAAGAGCCGACTGGCTAGAAGGCAATGTCCAAATACTGACCGTAAAATTGCCTAGTAAAACCAAACAGCCAACAAATGCTGGGGTTGGTTCTGGAACATCCTGTAAAGGTTACATAAATGACTAACTATTACTTAGCTTTTTTGTCAGTTTATACTCTGCCTCCTATCGTACTGTAATCTTTCTTTCTTCTTCACCTGGAATTCATCAGGGCAGGAAGAGATCTCTGGAACGGGCCAATCTGTTCACTTTGTATAAAGAAATTTCCATTGACTGTGGATATTTCTGCATGCCAGCCGGTGAACGCAAAAATAAGAAGTCATGTACTAAAGAGGAGCAGCACCTTTTATCCATTCAAAAAAAAAAAAAAAAATCAGCGAAAGAAAGGGAACCTAAAAGAATTTAATCAGCGAATAAAGATCCATCATGGTGATTCATGCCTGTCAGTCAGACCAGCAGGTGTATGAGAGGAGCAGGAAGATTTCTGAAGGTCTTTCTCACAAAGATAACTTATTGTAAGTTGCATTGTGCTGAATGATTCAGTGCTAAAAAGAATTGAAATACTTTATAGACGAAAAGCATAAAGGACAAAAAATCAAACTGATGGCAACATGGAGATTAGAACTCTGTGTTGGCTGTTGAAGATATGAATGGACAACGTATTGGAATGTCTCAAATGCTGTAATGTCAGTACTTAACTCAAGTCATATACCTTACATGATTAATTCTTGTTTATATTCAGTAGTCCATTAACTGTAAATCATCTGTAGTTCATATGCATCCATTATGTATGATTACTTTCAGCCAAGGACAGATTGCAACGTGTTGGTATATCTTACTGTCGGGATCCGTGTTTATTGAAGGATCTATGTTTTTACCACGGAGCAGGTCAGTTGAGATGTTTATGTATCTGTTCAGAATGAATGGCTGTCTTGTATATTTTCTGATTTTTCCTTTTTGTGTGAGTGCGTGCATGTTTTTATTTTTTGACCCACGAAATTCCATGTTTTCTATTTTTCCTCTTCTGCCCTTTCTTCTTCTTCATAATCAACACTCGTTTCTTCCTTCTTCTTTTGTATTCTCCCTTGGCACATTTTGTTGTAGTTTATAGCTAGGCTGTATTATCTGCACCATTTGACCCAACAGATTAGATTTCAGCAAACCCCTCATTAGTCACCCTTTACAACATGCCTAATGAATGTTAGGGTCGGTTTTGTTTTTGCTTTAAAATGGAAACCACACAGGGATTTTGTTGTACATTGTTCTGTTATATCAATAACAGTACAAATGCTGGCTTTGTATTGACTGCCACAGTGTAGACCAGTGGTGTCTTTTTCAGTGTGTGTGTGTGTGTGTCATTGTTGTGAACATAATACGAAGGCTGAGGTGGCTGGGTCACACCTGGAGAATGGAGGTGGGCAGAGTTCCTAAGGACATCCTTTATAGGGAATTAAAGTCAGGAAGAAGATGTCGAGGCTGACCTCTACTACGATATAAAGATGTGTGCACGCAGGACATGAATGATACAGGTATTGATGCGGACTCGTGGAAACAAAATGCCATTGACCGTGTTGCGTGGAAAGGGCGTATCAGGAAGGGAATGAGACTGAAGGAAGAAATGATCTCAGATAGGATGAGAGCTGAGCGTCTGAAAAGAAACGGATTAAACACAAATGTTGACAACAATGGTCCTGAAATCCCATGCTGTAATTGTGGAAGACTTTTTTTCACACAGTCGGGTCTTGCTAGTCACACTTGCAATCACCATGGGCTGTGAGTCTCATGCCTCCTTCCTCATAGCGTAATATAACACTATCGTCTGGAAAGACGGAAAGGTGCCAATGATGAATATTGTAAATACAAATTTGTCTTAATTTTTACAGCCACCATTCTTCTCCCTCACGTTCACCAGCTGTAGACTCAAATTCTGGTTGTTCATCCACTTCTGGACTTGGTCTTGATCTGTTTTACTTATCAGAATATTTGTTGTGCAGACTATTGGTTCCTTGCATCTCAGGCAGATGTACTGCAACTGTTTAGTCCATTTTTATGATAGGCCTGTTGGGGTAGTAGGTCTGTTCTTTATTCCCTCTAAACATGGGACCAGAAACTCACATGGTGAACTATGCAGAATCATTATCATTTCTTTCTTCTTTTCTTTCCTTGTTTAACTTCTTATTATTGCCCTGTTACTTTCTACTTGTCAACCGTTGGCTTACTTTAGTATTGTTTTTGTGTGACTGTTGGCTAACTTCCTGCTTTTCATTCCCATTGTTGCCTTGTGAAAAGACAAAATGATTAACCCGATGGCAGATGGCTATCCGGTTTGTAATGTGATGCTGGTACCTTATCAGCATTTGGCATCTCAAGAGCTGATTGTGTACAAATGTTTTGCCACAGTTTATGACCACGCAATTCTCTTCATCACAAACAAAAAAGTGAACATTGGAAGTGGCACAGTTTGGATAGAGTCATCTGTGACTGGGGTGAAAAGTTGAATGAGATAGATGAGGAAACCAAAAGAGATGCTATTTTGAACACCATGGGATACACTAGAGGTTAAATGCTACATGTTTGCAACATGACTAGCTCCAGCTGACGGGCCGTGCTGCTGACGTCACTGGGTTTGGGCTTACAATGCGCTAACCCAGCGGTTGTCAAACAAGAAATAAACTATTTTCGACAGTGGCGAGTGAAGACAACTCAAAATTTAACTTTAAAGTATCTACCCGCCTTCTTTAATAATTTCACAATTTTTATCCGACTTTTCTTGATTATTGCTGCGGCACACCTGGCATATGCTCACCGCACCCCAGGGTGCCTCAGCACCCATTTTGAAAACCGCTGCTTTAACGCATCGTTAGCTCGACCCGGTGACATCATCGGCACTGCCTGTCAGCTGGAGCCAGTCGTGTTTGCAACCACTATGTTACTAGAACCATCAGCTTATACACCTTGCAATATTTGCAGACACAGACAGACTGTCTATAGGTTTGCCAGGAGTACCCCGACAGACTCTCTATAGGTTTGCCAGGAGTACTTTGATGCTTATTCTGAATGAACCAAATAACTGTTGACCGTCCCTGCTTTTCTCTGCCAAACCATTCAACATTTTCTGTTGTCAGTGGCCCCACACAATAATCTTTCTGGCTGTAATATTCTCCCTTAAGGTAAAGGATCCTTTTTACGACAGCAGCTCATCAAACATCTGTTGCTAGGCTGATATTTTTATAGACCATTCAGCCCTAGGTGGCTGATCAAGATCCCTTTTCATGCTTTTAGGCGAATCAGGCGTTTGGGAAGAGCACCCATATTTTTACAGACCAATTAGCACTAGGTGGGTAATGTGGTCAGCATTAGGCCGGCTGTCTTTACTACCCCAGGCCATACATCCAGGTACCCATTTTAGGCTGGGTTGACCTGAGACGCCCCATACCATGATAAAATTCCATGCAGCCAGCAGTGGGTTTCGATCGCGGTATGTTGGAATTACGAGTCGGACTCGCAACATCTAAGCCACGGGCGCCGCCTAGGTGGCTGATGCGATTTATAATTTTTTTTTAAATATCCATCTTGGTGCAGATTTAAACCAAGGGCCTTTGGGCAGCCGAGCATTTTTCTCCATTCTCTTTGTTATTATTACAAAACTGAATGTTTCGTTACAGGATGTTAGGAAATTATTGAAATTAAACAAGACTGTCCCATTTACAGTAATGTGTCTTCTTCTTTTTCTTCGCATTTATCGGCTCTAAACTCCAGCAGAAAATTCTTGTTGTTAGTCCACTTCTGGACTGTAATCTTGTTCCAGAGTTTTGGGTGCACATCCATTTTACAGATCTGGCCTATTTGCATGCAGACTGTTGGTTCCTTGTGTCTCAGGCAGATGCACTTTCAGTTCAGAGGAAACAGCAGTATGTGTGATCAGTCTGTTCTGACACAGACCATATAATAAGCACACATATCGGAACAGATTTGGGATGCAGAGATTGTTCACCAGGGCTGGGAACTAGTAAAGCTTAAGACCTATCTAGACCTCTGTGTGGTCGTCCTAGCAGGTTTTCTCCTAACCTACCAAGAGTCTGAATAATGCAGATGGGATCGATTGTTTTCTTCAGTGTTGAAACGTATCTGCCTGAGTGAAGAGGAATCAACAGTCTGCCCAAAATATGCTGGATTGTAAAATGTACTATCATTCAAACACCCTGAGTCTTGGAACAAGACCAAACTTCAGACATGGGTGAACAACAATAACTGTCTGCCAGAGTTCACAGCTGGCAAATGCAGAAGAAGAGGATAACATAGAAGTTTGGCTGAAACTCCTAAAGCGCAGCTAGAAATGAAGGTGCGGTACATAATGTACCAGATGGTACCAGGGATAAGTCCAGTGTACCAACAGGAAAGTTCTATAAGTACAACGCAGAAACCCAAGATAGCAGCAGAGAAATGAATAAATATGAACATTGGCTTACAGTCTGGGGTAGTCCTGATAGATGCGCAATCAGTACTTGAAGCACTCCAGCCTGGGAAAATCAGAATCACAAAAACTGCTGACTCAACTTGGGTGTGGGTGTAGAGTCACAGTACGGTGGATACCGTCCCATTGTTGAGTGCCTGGAGATGAAAGTGCTGATGAACTGGCAGGAAAAGAAGATGTGAAAGAAGAGCAACCAGATGTACCAGTCACAAAAGAAAAAGGATAATTAAATAAAAAAATTTTTTTTTTTAATTTAAAAAACTAACTTACTAACTACCAACCCCAGTGCAAGATGCATATCTTATGATGAATAGATCAAAACAAGTCATTGTCCTGTGCCTCTGAACCGGGCACAGATAATTAGACAATGACATATACACAAAATGTTAGATATATGTATGATCCATGAGCACATGTGGAAGGTTGCCCTGGACAGCAGAACACTTACTTCAAGACTGCACAGAATATGACAAACCATTTAGCAAAAAAAAAAAAAAAAAAACCAATAACAACAGCAGAATGTAAACTCTAGAATCGCTTAATAAAAAAAAATGGCAGTGAAATTTATGTGAGAGACAGGTGATGATGTAGGCAACTTATTTCACGTGAATAAAAGAAGAAGAAGAAGATGAACCAGTTTGGGTCAGAGCCTGAAGAGTACAGTAGGAAAATTATGTGTGGGTGTTTGGTTAAGGCTCACTGACATTGCTCGCTGGTTATCTCAGTAAGTGCTTCAGCCTGCTTCCATGGACACATGTGGAAACCACAGCACACTACACCAGCCTGATAGCACTGATGAGGCTCCAGATGCATGCATCCTCTTCATGTTCACAGACTTCGTAGAATGTCCTGGTTGTTCGACCACTTCTGGACATTAGTCTTCTTCAAGAATTTGACTTTTGCCTGCACATCTGTTTTACAGATCTGGCTTATTTGTAAGCATACTGTTGGTTCCTTGTCTCTCAGGAGGATGCACTTGGACCTCAGAGGAAACCTCTGATTAGTCGACTCTTAGGCAGGCTTTTTAGGTAGGCAATGGATCTAAGGTCCCCCCTGCCCACACACTGGTGCCACAAAACTCATACGGGACAGAACTCATACGGGGTAAATGCGTACGCATGCTTTTTTCGAGGCCGGGTTTTTTTCTCATTCTAAAATTCAGTTGGGGTGCTCTCCTATTCACCCGCTGTTGTGGATTTTCACCTGTTGATATATTTAGCCTTTTTTTTCGCGTCTGTCATCGAAGAAGAAGTTAGAGCATATGTCATTTTTGAATTTTGTAGCATTGCATACTGCCCACACAGTGAATTCTACGAGGCATACGCGCGTTAGTAGGCGGACACCACAATCTATGAAAGGCTCCCCCTCTTGAAGTTTTAAAACATTTTTTGTTAGATTACTTTTTATACGATCA